AATTTCGTAATCACTCGTATGATTTTGGTTTCTTTAATATCTTGTTTCTTCTGTTCATGTTTGTTCAATGAAGAAAAATAAATAATAGATGATCCTTAATGGTACGGAGTTATGTTACGTAACTGACTTTTCAGCCGGAACCCCTAGGAGATTATTAATAACACACGAAATATTTTCTACCCGAAAAAGAGCTCTCTAAATCAATTAAAAAAACATTTACCTAATTATAATTTTTTAAAAGCATTCTCATAAAATATCGATATTTATCATATAATTACCAATGAAATATCTAATTTTCTCTATTTCGAAAAATTGATATCTTCACACGTGAAAATAAGATGTTATTTCCACGTGTGAAAATAACACCATTGCGATGACTATTCAAAAATTCACGGAAAGAATTGCCTGAAAAAGCCAAAACATACTTCATTGATAATTATATAGTAAACAGAATATTACATAGGTGTGCGGAGATACGAAATTTATCTTCTCGTGTTGAAAATCTGTCACTCGTTCGCTACGCTCACTTGTGAGAGATCTTTTCAACACTCGAAGATAAATTTCGTATCTCCGCGCGCCCATGTAATATCCTCTATGTATTTTTTTAACGAGCTCGAATGTGAAGACTTATCAAAGTTAGAGTGGCAAGCAATTCTTAGGGTGCATGTGACGTCATAGCCATCAATTTGGTTGACTTTAACCAACAAAAGATTTGGTCTTGGTGTCGTTTTGTCATGTCAACCAATAACAGTGCAAATCGAAAACAGTGGGCATCTAGAAATATTTCATGAATGTTTAATCGGCCAATCAGAAGCGTTACTGTTATCTTTCCGTTATCTTTTTGTTTGAAAGTCAATTCTGATTGGCCAAAGGAGATCTATATAACATTCCTAGAATATTTCTAGGTGCCCACAGTGTTTCGATTTGCACTGTAACGTGGCGAACACATCTTTCGTCCTTTTATTTTCGTCCTTTCAGTCTGTTCTACGTATTAATTGCCAAAATTACACTTTCCTTGACTACAGATCTTCATCATTCACGTCATCCTCATTGGTCGGGATCGGGTTTTCGTTCTGTTGAAAACAACATATTCGTCTCCGCCAGCACACAATTCCAGCCACTATAGCAATAGCAATAGCAACAGCAACACACGCAATAACGATGCCAGCTATTTCTCCACCCGTCAAACCTTTTTCAACAAAGAAGAAAAATATGTCTGAGCTAAAAAATCCAATAAAGTCTGTGAACAGGTCCTAAAGGGAAGAGCGTGGGAGAGAACGAGAAAAGGGGAGGGAGATAAATCTGTAAATGTAATAAATTATAACCATCGACAAACTATGGGCTGCTTGTTAAGAGCATTAGTTGATTATAAATATTGAAACCCTCTAGCGATTGTTTCTGTCGCGACGAAGAAGGTTTTGGTGGACGTCAATCAAGGCGTTTCCATGACATCCTATAGGCACGTGCCCTTATAGCTTTGTGTTTTCCGACAATGTTATGGAAACGCCTTGTGATTGACGTCCACCAAAACCTTCTTCGTCGCGACAAGTTACAAGTTAGCCCACCCCCTTTTAGTATGCATAAAAAAGATGCCCCCCCCTCCCTCTCAAAGTTTGGACCAAAGTGTTACATCCTCACCGATGCTTATGTAATAGATAAGGTATAATCTAAGGACTTTTAAATTGCAAGCTGTTAGCTTACAGTACATAAGCCAATGTTTTATGATTAGTCAAATATCTAGGGTAGTGCTGGTATTTTTGATTGTAAATTTTAAAATCAAATTTAATTTGATCAAGATATTTCAAGTTACATTATACCTTCATTGTGGTGATTTTGTATTCAGTCTAGACATAAATTTAGCTGTCATGGGTCTAGCTGCAGCAAACAATAATTCTAATAATTTCGTTACTCTTGTTTCACTTCATATAGTTTCAGACAGTATTTTTGTTTCAAAATTCCACTGTGCATTTGACGATATTAAAAATGTGGAATTTCCACATCAAKTAGAAGAATAAATAAGAGTGATCTATTACTTGTGTAATGATTGTATATGCAAAAAGAACCAATTGCTTTGTTTTTCTTCATATCTATACACACTCTATGGTGATTTTTATAATCCCCCACGCACTAATAACAACACAATTGTAGTTTAGGGAAGAAGATAAGCAAGTCCTTCAATGTCTCGATTGAAAAATTATCAAGAAAAGCAGAAAATCCAGAAATGGTTTTAGAGACAATGAGACGCACAATGAAACAAACAAAACAGCTTCAACACGCATTTTACGTTGTGGATTTGGTAACATCATTCAAGAAAAAGAAGATAGGATTTACTTCGGTTGAGAAACAATCATACAGCTTATGCAAAGATTTCCCAAAAGGAAGAAGAATCGCTTTGGTTAACACGATCATGGCATGGAAACAGAAGGATGCTTTCCGAAAGCTACAGGAAGAGAGACAAAACAACACCCGTGTATGGAGAGAAGTAAAGCCTATTTTGGTGGAAGAAGGAATGTGGGTTGAATTCATCAGAATGTGGAGAAAAGAAAAGAAGGTAATAAGAAACGAGTTTAATCAAAAGAGAAAGAGCAAGGTTAAATTTCTCACAAAGAAATTTGATAGAGATTGCAAAGTACCGGACACGATCGAAGGAATAAACATCAAGGATGAGAAGATACCTGAGAATTATTCCTCAAAACCACAATGTTATGGCCAATGTCAAATCAATGAAAGTGAAGAAAGTGTACTCAGTCTACCACCTAAGTTTGCAATCTACGAAAGGATTGATGAGGAAATGATGGAAACACAGATTGAAAAAGGTCTAGCTAAACATCGCTGGGATCAGAAGAGGGATAAAGAACAAAATGGTCAGATTAAGGAAGAAAGCGGTTTCAATGTGAGTGAGGAAAGCAGAAAGGTCGACATGAGAACAATGCGTGCCACTGATTTACCATTTAACAAACGCATTTTTCTCCCAGCTCCCTTAGAAGAACAGAAGGAAGTCGAATTACAACATCTTAAAGGCAAAATGATGACCACTGTGCATACATATGTTACTGAGAATCAGAATAAACCTTTGTGGCAAAATTTGAAAAGAGAAGAAAAGGAGGGATTGAAATCATTAAAGGAAAGAAGTCGTGATGGGAATGTAGTAATATACCAAACGGACAAGTCAGGAAGATTCTCTGTGGATACACCTGATAATTACGTCAAAGCATCTACAACTCACGTGGTTAAAGACGAGACTATAACTGAAGAGGATTATTCCCGACTAGAGCCGTTGATGAGTGCACATTCTATCATATGGAGAAGGATCCTTCAGGCTGGCAAAGAAACAGGGCACGAACAAAGGATAAAAAACAACATGATAACAACAAACTGTCCTATTGCTCCTCTGTACACACTTAGGAAAGACCACAAAACAGTTAATGATCCTGAAGTTGGACACCTGTTAGACCTGTGTGTGGAGCAGTGGTGGGATATAATCATCATTTATCACATGTAGTAAGCTCTTTGCTGGAGGAGGTATGGAAGGAAGAACCAGATGTGTGCATGAGTACAGAGGAGATGATGGCAGAGATACGTGAAGTAAACAGAATACCTAAAACAGAAGAGGTGGTAGTTGGATCGGCTAATGTTAAGGCATTATACCCAAGTCTTGACATTGGGTTTACTGTAGAGAAAGTTTGTGAGGTTATTCATGACAGCGATATAACTTTTTCAGGAACAGATGGGGAAGAGATAGGACTTTATCTATCTCTTCACCATGATGAAAGGTACTTGGAAGAAATAGATGTGCTAAGATATTGTCCCACTCGAAAGTCAAACAGAGGAAGGAAGCCTACAATAACAGGATGTGCGTTAGAAGTTAGCAAAGAGAAACGTTTTAAACCATGGAACCCTGCTGAGTGTTTACCATCTGATGATGTGAAACGCCGCATGTTCATCGAGGCTTTGAAGGTTGTACTTCTATTCGTTATGAAGAATCATGTGTATAGCTTTAATGGTGAAATCAAGAAACAACTGAAGGGAGGACCCATAGGCCTGGGGCTGACTGGTGTGCTAGAACAGATCTTCATGATATGGTGGGATTGAAACCTCAAAGTACTCATGCATAATTTGGGACTAGATATGTACATGTACAAGAGATATGTTGATGGCATCAACATTGTCATGAAGGTACCGGAAGTCGGTGCAAGATATAAGAATGGAGCTATCACCATCACAGATAGTACAAGAGACGATGATAAAGAGAAGGAGAAAGATGCAAGAGCTATGGAGCTTCTAAGGTCGGTAGCCAATTCTATCCATACTTCAATACAGGTTGAAGTTGATTACTGTACTAACTACCGGGATCGAAAGCTACCTATTTTAGATCTTAAGGTATGGACAGGAGAGAARGAGAGTGACAACACAAGCGCACAAGTTGTTCTACATGAGTTCTATACTAAGGATGTTGCTTCAAAGTATGTGGTCCACTCAAGATCAGCACTACCATGGAACAACAAACGTACCATTATGACCCAAGAAGTTTTAAGAGTACTCCTTAACTGYAGCCYCCTCCTACCATGGAAATGTACTGTACAACACGTAAATGAATTGGTACTTAGGATGCAGTACTCAGGATACAGCAAAAAGTTCCGGTATGAAGTCGTACACTCAGCACTGAAAGCGTACAAGATCAATCAGGTGAAAGACCGTTGTACAGACGCAAAGAGTGGATGAAAATGGAAAGAAGGAAAGAAAAAAAATGCAAAGAGAAGACCTGGTATAAGAGAGGAGGCTTTACGAGTGTCATAATGATACCAGCGACACCAAACTCGGAAGCTGAAAAGAAGACTTGAAGATGATGTCAGAAAGAGTAGCATTAAGATCAAATTAATGGAGAAAGCTAGCACGAGCGTTAAGAGTTTGCTATAAAAGTCAAACCCGCTCAGGAAAGACCCTTGTGGACAGGAAGACTGCCTAGTGTGCCAAACAGGAGGTAGAGGAAATTGCAGAGCTACAGATGTAACGTATGAGATCAGTTGCAAATCCTGTGGCGATAAGTA